TGTTATCTCGCATGAATACTCTTACAGAATTTGACTCAGTGCTCGGTTTTTTACGTGTGATATAAATATGTTCTATTAATTAACTTCGTATACAAGTCGTTTATGACGAAGTTATCTAACCAAATCAGAGAGTAATCAATGCATATCAACAATCTTCAATCGTATAGGAGAAGATGGAAGAGTTGGTCTGGAAACGTGATTTTGAAGGTCTTAAAAATTATTTTGCAAGCTGTCGAGAATCCGTAAGGTAAGTCACCATAGTTCTCTTTTAAATTTCCTATAGAATCAAATAAGAAACTATCATTCTGGGAGTAGTCACTAATTTAGTGAAGAAGACCTGTCTTCACTTCTTGAAGTTCGCCTTCGAGAGCGAGGTTTGGACATAGCGCGAGGGCCGGATGAAAGTATAGAAGAGGATGTTCGTCGACACTTAGAATTTGCTTTGAATATATGCAAAAATGGTAAGCAATGTAGAGGGGTGGAACAGAAATCTGCAAGACCTATCGACACATGAGATGATCTAGTTCAAGTTTGTACCAAGTACATATAGAGATCAGAACGCGGCACATACTGGCACATTCTTAGTCGTTTTCTGTTCTTTTTATGTGCCATTTTCTTCGCGTGCCTTTAGATGCTTTAGTCGAACATTCTCTCAAAAAATCCTAATTGCGCGCAAATTCTTTGTACTTTAATGGTGTTGTTAAAAAGTGTTTTGGCTTCAACATACAACGTTAAAGATCTGAACATTAAGACTGTTTTGGTTTGATGAAAATTAGGCACCTTTTTTTAAAAGAAAATCCACTGTAGATTAAGGACTATGTGTGAAGCAAACTGCCGTGCAGACGCTACAGGATATGTTTGAAGTGAGTGGGATTGGAAGATGCGAACGTTTGTTTGGAATACTCGAAGAAAACATGTTTCAATTCAAACAAGTGGGGCACGAGTTTCCTTGCGTGTTATATTTAGAAGCACTCGTTGTATTATGCCTGCAGCGACATACTAATTTGTTGATATATAGTCACCTCTTGTGGAATCGTCGCAAACGCCAATCCTGAGAATGTGTAACGATCTTCTCAAAAGGCTAAGTAGAAGTGCCGAAACCTCTTTTTGTGGAAGAATACTGTTCTTTCTTAGTAGGTTAGTTCCCTACAGAACGGAGTTGTGCAACATTGCACATTCTCCAAATTTTATTATGCAGATACGCAGACTTCTACATGTTTAAATGTTTTGTAGATATCTACCGTTGGGAGAAAAGTCAGGCCTCAATTTGATGGGACACTTTAACACTCAAAATAGAACAAAATATGATACGGTAAGTGTTACAAAAAGTTTCATTTAA